GGCTGGGCAACCAGCAGGGGACGATGTCGCATTCTACCACGGTTACGTGAAATGAACGATTTTTATTGGTCAAACAATAAAATTAGACGCTATCAATTTTGGATTGAAATTTCGTCTGATTTCATGACCGCTTCACTGCGCACGTATACAACACTGCCGCATCCAGCTTGACCACCAACATGGCTAATATCAACACAACAGACGTGATGGAAATGCTGAGAAAACATGTATTACAAGTCGAAAAATACAATTATTATATGATTTTTCCTCCACAATTATTAGGGAACCTCACTATCATATAACCTTCTATAATAAAAATAGCCAAACCCAAGTACAATACACAGCCCCAAACATAAACAAACAATATCTAACATGTAAATCAGAAAGCCTTGTAAATTTCATCCCTATCTATACAAAATGTGCAGCAAAACCTTACTAAACATTTACCTACCTGGTAAATGGTATATTTGTTTCCGTTTAGAATCATAAGAATGGGAAATTCGCAAGATAACGGTCAGGCGAAACACAAAATTTATGCCACTCACACTCAATCATGTACCGTTGCATCGTTCAAAAAATACATGTCAAAAATTGAACCGCCAGAATTCTGCTCTCTGCCAGCTTTCCAACAAGGCTGTCACTGCTGGTGATCTATGTTCGTACACTTGAAAAAAGTTTGGCCACAATCCAGTCCCAAATGATGAAAACAATGTTCCAAGGAATCCCAAGTTAGTCGCATGTACACAAAGCAGCACTGTCACTCTTTTCATGGAAGCAACTCCAGCCTATGCAAGTGAAATCATGATCCACACTCGCTTGTCATACAAATCTTTGAATAGTTACAGGTCGTAGGTCGATCAGAAAAGGATCTACTCTTCGATTCTGCAGGGTTCAGATTCCACACTCAGTCAAGTATTTTCCAATGTCACTCAAAATGTAAACACTGGTTGTCCGCCATTTCAAACTGTTGCGTAACTGTCAGACTCCACTTCCAAGAAAAATAAGTAGGTCAGACGATTGCATTATAGTGTGGCCAGGGGGTTAGAGTAACACGGCACGCAAAACAATAGGCTGGTTTCGGTCGTGCGGAGTTCGGATTATATAAACCAATCTCTTAGGTATTACATTATTTAATGGAATAAATAGTAGTTAGTTTTCTTTGGACAGAATATTATATATGTTGCAATGTTTAAAAAAATACGGACGGCACCTTCCACTCCCTTCACTGACAAGTTCAATTTGCCTCTCGCACTATGCCGGATTTCGCAGTGTCTTCCGTGGAAGGAAGGAGTTCGCTTTTAAATTGGTTATGGTAGAACGGACATAAACGTACTGTGTTGGAAAATTAGATGAATGTTAGGCAGAATTGATAGTCTCTAAATTAATCATTTGAAACTTCACGCAACGCGTTCGGTTCCAAATGAAATTCTGCCTAACATTCATCTAATTTCCCAACACAGTACGTTTATCTCCTAATTGGCCAGTAGCAAGATCATTATATAATTCAATAATTTCGATTAAAAGTTGATGTTTACAAGAAAGATTTGTAATAAATAACCCGAAGGCAAGAAAACGAGTCGAAAAAGATTATAGTGTTTATATTTAGGATGTCTATTAATATATTTAGGCTGTTAATATGGCGTTCGCTTCTGCTGTGAAAATAGAGCTGTTACCCGGCAATCGAGAAGATACTGTTTTGGATCCAATGACAGTGACACAAGCAACTGCGCCACCATCCTTGGATCCATATGTAAATAAGGATTTGTATTTATGATATTTATTCTTTAATTGATTAAATTCTTGTTTATATTCTAATTCAATGGTTTCTGATTTTTTAAATGCGGTTAATGTTAGGTCAACTTCTGGGCTGACTAGTACGCGGGTATACTTTCAAACGGTGGGGCAGATGGACATCTGCTGCCTATGCAATTTTATCCGAATGTCGTGGGATTGGTAACTCCCACCTTTCATTGTATCATCCAATGAAATCTGAATGAATGTATTAACATTATTGTTTCTTTCATTATATCTAGGCAAATCTGCTTCAGAAATCTGGATACTGGACTCCTCATTTATCTATATGGTGCATAAGCGGGCAGTTAGACGTCCGGTGGGGCACAGTCTGGGGCTACCTGGGCTCGTTACATGGCTGAGCAAGCGTGGACTGAAATGGCAGCACGTGCATACAATGATCGAGCTACGAGATCCCGAAGCTGTAAGGTTTGTTTAATTGTGGGGACACATTTATAGGTATAAATTTGGTGTTGGTTTTGTTTTGCTAATGCCTTTCCTCTCAGAGGTTACCCTTCGGAGGTTAACCCAGCTGGGTTACGTGGCATATATATCACGCTAACAGTATCTATCGGTACTGTTAAAATGCTTGCACTCTCTTGGTTACCCATAGAGAGCTACAGGTCAAGGAGCTCTATGCCTTCGGGCCGGCGCTTGGCATGCTTATATACTATATACCACCTATCATCTGTCACCTGCCAGCGATAATTTCAACCTGTCCTATTTGTAATAAACTGGCTGCGCCCTTATCATCCCAATTTACATGTTGTAATCCTTTCCTTGATTGGCCTCGCCGACAGTAGTCATAAATGATCAATGGTACTACGATTTTTCAGGAAACCAGATTGAATATTTGTAATGAGTTTATTGGTTTCCAGATACCAAATTAATCTATTGTTTACCATTCGTTCCATGGTTTTACAGACACAATTCGTTAATGAAATTGCTCCGTAATTTGAAGGATCGCTATGATCCTGGCCAGGTTTGGGTATAGCGACCACAATGACATTACGCCACGAAAGTGTGAACGTCCCAGATGTCCATATTTTAACAATTATATCTAAAAGAGTATCAGCCCCTTTTGCTGTATCATGAGCTTGCTCAAGGGCAGTATGCAGCACATGTGGTGACAATAATTCATTATATTCTTCACCATTGTCCGAGTTAAACGTGATTCTTTTCTTTTCCTGTTGTTTCTGATGTTTTTGACATAACTGGATGATGAAGAATGTTTGGCAAGACTTTCGCCAATTCTATTTGCTATTTCAGATGGATTTGTTAATAGATTATCACCATAATTCAGATGGTGTACAGTAGATTTTGAACGTTTGCCCTATATTCTTTGGACCATGTTCCACACCTTTGACATAGGTGTACGGGAATTTATTTTAGAAACATAATTCCTCCAAGACTGACGATTATTCTGTTTTATTGCACGTCGAGCCATGTCATTAGCAAAAAATTGCTTGATCTAAATTATAGACTGTAGAATGTCAGCGAAAATATTTTTCTGCTTTCTTCCTACTCTTTCTGACCTGTTTATGTTCATTAGTAAACCATGGTTTAGGAATATGTGGAATTGCAGAAGACGTTGGTATAGTTTGGTCAGCAATTGCATTTAGTATATCTGAAAAAGTTTAAAGGTCACATGCAACCAAAAAATCAAACATAATTAAACCACAATTATCACTTCTTCATGACATATAATATGCATTGCTGATTATGAAAAAACAAATAAACAAAATTATAAGCGTATAATCGCAAATCAAAAGTGCATTATTTTGTACTTGGGTTTACCTCCCTCGAAACGAAGCAGCCGGGATACCGAACCCAGTCAGAGCGGGTGGGTGTGCACTCAAGTGTAACGGCTGGTTCATTAGCAGATGCCGCCTTCGCGGCTCAATGTGTGTGTATATATAGAAAGTTGGGTTTTGTAAATACATGCTCATTTTTTGTGTATAACATTTTGCAATCAACAGACATCATAACATGTAATGTGTTCAAGTATCACACCTGCCTGTCTGTGTAATTACATAATGTGACAGAGACCGAACTCGGGCCATAAATCAATGCGTTTTGTTTATGGTGTATAGCCTGATTGGTGTTAAGTTCAAATTGCATGTGGTCAGTGATCGCAGCTGTGTATTGAATATTGTCGTTAGCAGACAGGCAGGCAGACACACAGGTGTCAATAAAACAAGACATTGAGTTTTGTCTGTGACAGCGACATATCTATATCACAGTTAGAAATTCTGTCAACTCTAAATAATGACATTGCTTTTAAGTATCGAACTGAGAAAGTGACTCGGTAAGAAGAACGTGTGGTGAAATAGACAAATGAAATTATATAAACAGTTTATTTACTGTCATAACATACAAAAAAGCTCGTGCCTGTGAGATATCAACAAAACATTATGAAAATAGCTCACACCAAAGCCTTCACCGAGTATTCACCCGACAGCCCGCTTCCAAGTTGTGCGAACCTATTTCACTGCGCACGTGCTATGAGCTATGTCCATACCGAAAGGTATCAGAATCTGCAAACTTGTGTTTTACGTTGCATGTGACCTTTAAGTGATCAGCACATAGTGTCTTAGATAATGACCAATCAGCCCTGTTCCTTCTCGATAAAGGTGGATCATCACCAGGGTTGATTGTTTCGAGAATGGCGGGTAAGCGCACATAGCTGTGTTATTGCAGGGTGTTAAACAAACAAGGAAACAAATAATAACAGGTGTGTGTGAGGCAAGACAACATGTCACTTTCAAAGACATGCGAATATGTGGCACAGGTCAAAATAGGGAACAGTAACAGTCATTAGTTCTGTCACTAATTTGGAAATGCCCTCCCAATTTATAGAATAACACCTTTCCTCGGTTCTTAAAAGTTGTTATGTCCATTAAACAAGTTTTTGCAAAGACGAATTAAGGACTTAAATATTAGACTATTACCAAACTGATTTATCTGCCTCACGGATTCAATGGGTGATAGGAGTAATAGAAAACAGTCCACGAATAGTGTAAAATCAGGGAAACTAAATCTATCTTTCAACCTTTGCTGGTTGTTAAGTTAAGCTACCATTGAAGGTCATCAAAACGCCATTGCCGAACACGATCCAAGTAAATAGGTCGCCATCTTCAACCTTTTTTCGTATCTGTTTACGAGCCTGTTCAAGCAGCAGTTCTTCTTACCTACGCTTATATTCCTCTTCACGCTGACTCTGTGCCTGTTCTTCGAAGGCAGCCGCTTCTTGTTTCTTGTCTCTCGCCTTCAAGAGTTTCCATCTTCTCAGCTTCTCGCAGATCAGCTTCATGTCGCTGATACATCTCATTTGTGTAGCACCGGCCGCCATTTTCATCAACCATGTGTTTTACCATGTCAATCAGGTCTTGGGTAAATTTCTCCTTCTCTTCATCCGTTCCTCTGTTGTTTACAGCAATAAGACGAAGTCTTGTATCAAGTAGAAACTGCTTCAGTTTCACAGGAATATCTCCAAGATAGTCGTCAATTGTGTCACCTGCCTCTTCCAAGTCATCTTTTCCAGTAAATACAACAATCACGAATCTTTTAGCTTCTTGTCCAAAGCATTGCAGGAACTTTTCCAGTGTATTTTTGTCTTCTCCAGTTAACCTTCCAATTCTCACGATGAAAAGAATAGCGTGTATTCCAGGAGATGACATACCCACACATTTTATGACTCGTTCTTGATGTCTTCACGTGATCTGTTTGTGTCACAAAAACCCGGGACATCTACAAGTTGCAAGTCGTGCCCAAAACGTTTAACGGAATGTTGTTTGCATGTCCTTGTAACAGACACTGCCCTTGCTAATGCTTGGAATATCTGTGCCCCCTTTCCGGCTCCACATATTGTATTTCCTGTGGTACTTTTACCTGCTCCAGTCTTTCCAACAAGTACCATTCGAATTGCCCTCTCCAGAAAACCGGAACCTGTTCCTGTGAATGAGCACAAACATCATCTTACACACACGGAAGATCACACGGTTGCATAAAGATAGGCAGAGACTAATCGTTTTATATTACCTAAACTTACGTTTCACACGTATCTTTTATTAAACATTTTCATTCAGAAGTTCCCGAATTATGAGATAATAGTTACTATTAATAATTGTATAAAAATGAACAATATGGCAAATATATCGGAAATTATAGAACTAGCTGTATGATAATAATGAACGAAGTTGGAACACATAGCAGCTGGTACTGAAGTATGGCTAGCGATCTTGATGGACAATAGGTGTTAGAGGGAATGTTCCAAACTTGACGTTTTTCATTCACTCATTTAGTAGACATCTTTCATAAATGTTACTTGACAGAAAAAGTTTGTTGTTTTTGTTACTTTATACTGCGTGTACATGTCAGTCTTACTGAAAACAATAATCTCACTGTCACTTGATATTTGCTTTGTTAAGCTTTTTTTCAGTTCCAAACACACACATGGTTCTTTCAAAATATTAGAATTGTTATGATCTTACATACCATAATCAAGTGTTGTCGTCGAATGTCGTTGCGTTGTTGTACATCATCATCATCAAGCCATCCTGGAATGTACATAGCCAAATTTATGCTACATAGTGAGTATAAGTTGACCTGAGAAAAAATCGACCCTTAATCACTAACTAGAAACTATTTTATGGCACATTTTCTCTTGAAGTAGCGTATATGTTATGATTCTGTTGATAACCTTGCAAGTTTTGAAAAAATATGTATAGTTTTGTTTGTCGTATTCAAGGCTACTGGGCTACATGCAGTTTTGTAACTAAAATTGAAAATTAAAAGGAAGTAAACCTGTAAGTGAGAACTATATATATATACTCATGCCGATAATGGTTGTCACCCCCTTCATTTTTTTTAATTGGAGAAGGGGTGTGGGGTGTGAGGATGTGTGTGGGGTTGGGGTGGGGAGGGTTTTGACAACCATTATGGGCATGAGTATATTTATTTTATTTTCATTACGCGATACTACTAATATTTTACAGAATTTTATTAATGTTTCTTTGACAAGGAATATCATCAGCTCTATCACATCGTGGTATAGCTGCATTCCTGTGCCACCTTTTGCATTCGGTTCATTTGTAAATTCATATTAAATATAAAGGGAGAATAAGAACAAAGAGGGGACACAGCCCTGTCTTAACCGAGTCGTACAATGGAATGTTTTAGAATACGCATGACCTGCGCATGCTACACTGTCGTAAACTGCACGTATAGTACAAAATGCCCAACGAGAAAGTGCAAAGAACGAGGAGTTTTCTATCGACTCAATCGAAAACCTTATTTACTGTCATTTGATACATTTGCCCTGTTAGTTTTTTCCAGCTCAAAACACACACATGGTTTATGTGTACATGAAAGTCTTATTAAAAGTAAGATTTCGCTGTCACTTGATACGTTTGTTTTGTTAGTTTTTTCTCCTAGCTCCAATCACACAAGTGGTTCTTAGAAAATTTAAGAATTATTATGAACTTACATACCACAAACAAGCGTTGTCGTTGAAGGGGTCGACAGATGTTTGCTTTGTTGCACACTCTCCTCCTCAAGCGCTCCTGTAACAAAATGTACATTCTCTTTCGCCAAACAAATGCTAAATAGTGATATAGTGATCATACCTAAAGAAAATTCCATCTCACTTTTTAGGCACGTTTTCTTTTCAATTAGCAAATGTGTTCTGATGGTTTTTTGTTGGGCTTTTTTTGTTTTCTTTGTTTTTTTTGGTTGTTGTTTGGTTTGGTGTTTTTGGTTTGTTGTAAGATGGAATTTAATCATACACCGTCTCTATTTTCTTAAACAATGTGTAAAGCTGTTTGTAGTTGTAACCTTTGCCTGATCACATATTTACTTGTTAGATACGGTTGTTGCATTCCAAATTGGACGCATCAGTGACATAACCATACCCTATTTTGACTTGTGACATACGTTCCCGTATTATTTCAGGTGAACAACTGACTCGGCTTTTCATATGTTTATGACGGGTGCCACCGGTGTAGCAGGATATGCTCACGTTCTCGCGAACACCTGATATATATGCTGTCATCATATCTTAAAGTGTCATTCACTGGACTGTCTGGTCCAGATTCGAGTGTTTACACATGCTTTTTTCTCTTGGTGTGTTTGTTAACGCTGCACTCAGCAATATTCCAGCTATATGGCGGCGGTCTGGAAAGCATCGAGTCTGGATTAGACAATCCAGTGATCACCAACATGAGCATCGATCTCCGCAATTGGGACATGATGACATGTGTTATCCAAGTCAGCAAGCCCGACCATCCTGTCCCGTTAGTCGCCCTTTATGATAAGAACGAATCGCTGAAGACCAATTCTAACCTGGAACTTCACGTGGAACATCGTGCAGTTGTAATAGTGCTGATACGTACTCATGATATAGTCAGTAGTTTACAATCGACTCGATATTGTATGGATGTGGAAATTGTTTTGTCGCTTGTATTCATAGTACTTTGTCAACACATAGAGAAGAGAGTTGAAGCAAGCTGCTTACCAATACCTTTCTGTCTATGGAAAACCCAGCGCTTTTGTGCAGCGGCCAACAGCTGCGGTGGGTGTGGAACCTGAGATGAGCAGTGTTCTCCACCTTCGTATACAACAACGTAAAGGATTTCTTTTCCTTCAGCCGCCAGATCTCTTTGTCCAAGGTCGCTGAAAGTCGTCTGATCAATATTGTGTTTTCTGTAAGAAATTTAAACGTATAGGTAATATGTCATCTCGATCTACCTATGTATTATGTTTAACATCCCACTCAACAATATTCCAGCTGTATGGCGGCGGTCTGTAAGTAATCGAATTTGGACCAGACAATCCATTGATTAACTGCATGAGCATCAATTGTGATTCGCGCCTAACAACCCGATTCATTAGCCGACTCTTACGACAGGCATGAAGACCAAATCTACCCCCGGAAATTGCAGTCGAGGATAGAGATGAGTTTATTGAAAACGATTTCTAATAATCTAATCTTTAGTTAATATTGCAGTAATGCAACATTATTATATTCCTTTTGAGCTTGATTTCGTAGAGCCCGGTTTCCGATCATTCGATGTTTTTCCACAATTTGCTGTTTACAGGCAGTGGCCACTGACTTATGCCAGTTTTGTGGATGCCAATAAATCGTAGACTTGTTGCATCTCACAATTAATAATAATTAATAGTATCAAGTATACCAAAACTCTGTGATAAGCATAAGATAAATAATCGTCCACTGACACTACATGAGCATCTTTAAATTCAGCACGTGTATGGTGGTCCTGTGTTCAGTGCTTGCAAATTATGCTGAAGAAATGCTGGGGTCAACGTTAATGGTTTATCTTTGTCTCAATGAGTTGTTACGACATTTAATGCATCAATTAAGCTTTGAAAAAGTTTTATGGTTGACAATTCGTTTCAAAAAATTTGATGCATCAGTGACAAAATATGTTGCCCAATGCAATTTCCTGTTTTAACTTGTACCATACAATTCTTAATATTATCAGGTGAACAGTTGACGAGCCTTTGCATACGTTTATGACGGCTGCTACCGGTGGGCATGATGCTCTCATATTTTCGCGCACATCTGGTATCATCACTATCTGATAGGTCCCTAGTATGGTGATTTGCCTTCAGTTGTTGGCGATCTATAGCCCGTGTTTTCCATTGTAGTGTCTTCTTTAATTAAATTGTTTTAGTTTTTCATGCCAGTTTTATATTCATATCTGTGATACTTTCGTATTTTTACTGTCCTTCGTGACAGTCTCTTTATAATTTGAATGTGTTTATGGTGAATTAAAAATTTGTTTTAGTCACGATATGGCTGAAATATTGCCGATGTAACTGTAAATCTTAACTAACTCACTCACTCACTATCTGATAGTGATTCATGAACACAAGGTCTGTCATCGTATCTCATATAGTGTCAATCATTGGAGTGTCTGGTGCTGACACGATTGTCAGACAAAGTCTGAAGATCCTTGGTACAGATATAATTTCTTCAATTCTACCCGGTGATACAAAGATGATACACAAAGTATAACCTCATTCTCATGATGATCACATTGACAGTGTGAAACTGGTTAGAATTGAAGACATTATATCTGTAATTTGTACCAAGGATCTTCAGACTGTGTGTTTTGTGTGTTTATAACTTGGACCATGAACTCATATTCATTGTTATAATATAAATTGTTATACATTGTGTTATATATATAATTGTAATCATATATATGTGATTGTAATGGTGGTATCCATACAGTGTCGTTGCTGAACAAGTATTGAAAAATGTTCTTCTTACAAAATAATTGTTTATACGTAAGAAATGTTATTAAACATTACCTTGCATGTTCGATCAGTTTGAGATCATCTGATATGAGCAATGTTCGTCCAAGTTTCTGTAAACGCTGGCATACGGTGAGAGACAGGACTCGACCACCGCTGGCAGGGAAGGTATCCACATGCACTTCAGTGTGATCAATGTTCTCTGTCAGGATACAGAACTGCTTATGTGTCAAAAACCACTGAGTGTCATCGTTTTCGTCACTAACAAACTCGGTTGCTGCCATAGGAGAGAGAAAGGCACGGACAACATGCTTATACTTCTCGTTGTTCATACTCAAAGAATCAGGTACACAGAGGCGAGATCGCACTTTCTCTATCCTTGCTAGAGAGGACTGAAATGTTTCCTTCGACATGAGTTCTTTCTCATGCATTAACCCGTATATAGAGTTGAAGGTCACGGTCGTAAACTTGCGAACGTTCTTTGTAAGTTCTTTCGAGACAGCAGAGTTGTATATTTGAGTCTGAAGTTTAATATTTTCAGACATTTCTTTTACAACCGAAAGAATAACTGCTGGACTTTGCTGTCTGATCAGACACACGTCCATGATAACTTCTCCAGGAGTCTCGTACTTAATGTCCATATTAGCAGTAACCGGGAGAGACTTTGCGATGTATGCAAGACCAACATTGTCCACTGTCGACAGTTCATTGAGTCTTGTCTTCAAATTAGTATAAGTCTCTTCTTCTGGAAAACCCTTGGGAAATACTTTGATTGTTTCTGGGCCTGTGAATGAAACTTCATATTTCATGAATGGTGATAGTTTGATACATGACACAGAATTAGGGATAGATTGAACCAGTCGAAATCTAAAAGCATTATCACACAAGCAATCTTCTGTTCTTTTCTCCTACGGACACTTTAGCGCTCAAACACATTTCTAATCCACGCCCTCACCTCCTTGCATTTCTTGCTGTCTTTGTCAGATAGTGCCATGTTAGTTTTCAGCATCGCCATCAGTCTCGATACACAATCTGGAATAAGTACCAAGCCATATACGCGTCACATACACATACTAAGCACCACCTGTCCGAGAACAATGACATCAACAGAAATTCATACTTCCAGTAGGGCAGTAATGCCTGGTTATCGGATGGAAGACAGAGTAATTGAGTACAGAAAAACAACACAATGTTGACAATATGTTGATTTGTATGCTCTGTACCTGAGAAATGCTCACACTATTGTTTCCTTTTATTATGTTTTGGGTTTTTTTGTTTTTTGTTTTTCTGTTTTTGTTTTTTTAATTTTTTTATTTTTGTTTGGTTGTATTTTGGGGGTTTTGTTTGTTGTTTGTTGCACTACACATGATTGCTGTAAGTATGGGCCCCTTGAAATGTACAGATGCGTTTCACATCAGTATCTCGTGTATCCTCCACATGCCTGGATGAAAGCACCCACCCTTCTCCTCATGAGAGCCTGCAGATATGTTAGCCAAACCCGAAGTGGTTTTCAATTCTTTGACTAGAGTCTTCCCTGGGTATATATATCTTCTGAGTCTGAAAACGTCCTGTGACAGTTGAATGCTTTAATAAAAGATGTACAAATAAAAACCCGGTTTTTATCTGTTACACGGCCCCTCCTTTACCGCGGATGCAGGAGTAGCCAAGTGTATTCCTGTCAAGAAACATCCCTCCTTCTGCTAAAGATAAACATCAAAGAACAGAATTCCAGAGAGGAGTGAGGTCCTTCCACAAGGAAGATTCCTTCAATGAATTGAAAACATCTATGGGTTTGGTTAAGAGGTCTTCCTTGGGGTACATATATGCATTAACACAGACTCGCAAAGACCGAAGGGGTCAGGAGGAGAGTAATTCTTTTAGCATGAAAACGTGATTGGCAGCTCGAAGGGAGGCATGGCAGGTGGTGACCCGTATGGGTTCGTACCCATTTCCGTCGTTAGACGTGTTAATAACATATATCTTGTTATAGTATTCATAACCCACCCATATACTAAAATGTGAGGATCCTCCGTTTTGTATCCCTTGTAATGAAAGAATCACGGTCAAGCCTGTTCTGCTTGACTGTGTTGATTTTTTCCATCAAAAGGGATACATATTTCAGTGTTAAAACGGTAAAAGATCTTTTTAACAAAGTTAATAATCATTTAATTATTGAGTTTTTAAACGAAATCAAACTGATTGATAAATTTTGATTGATACCATTTGTAGATATATATTTTTTAATGATTGGAAGCTTAAATTAGTAACTTGGATTGTTAGTGGCTGTAACCTCGAGGGGTGTTACAGTATTGTAAAATTATTGTCCTACTGAGAGCGTACGTAAGTCCCGAAACTTTCATAGTAAATTTACAAATTACCAGGATTTTAAGCATAGAATTTTGTGATTTTAATTATGGCTAAATTTTCACTACAATCGCCGGGGGATGAAGGGATGATGTAAATCCAGCTAGGGTCCACGTAGGTAGCAAAGGTACTGTAAGTCCCCAGGTTCCCTAGTATGGTGATCAACTTCATTTCTATGATAGCGTACTAGTTTTAAATTAAGAACTGAAATAATCTAGTATTTTTACTGCCCTTTGATGGCAGATTCTAACTTTATTGATTTTAATATTGATATAAATAAATTGTTCTCCTCACGATATGGCTGCAATACTGCCGATGTGACGAAAAATCCTCGGTGAAGAGAACGTAAGGGACGCACACATATAAGGGTACACGATGTAGTGATATGAACCTTCAGTGGATATATCAATAACAGACACTGAACACAGGTCCGATACCAATGACCAGACTCACTTGGTCAGGGTGGCAGGACAGTGCCCACTGGAGACAACTGAATGACCGAGTACGATCATTAGAATGCCTGTCGAGTTGGTAAAGGCGAATGAAGGTACTCGGCTGGCATCAAATAGCAATGGAACAGATCACTTCAAGCTGCAACAAGAAATAGTCTACACAAGCCTTCCCGCCACCGTCACTGCAGACAATTGGATCTCATTCTCATTCAAAGGAGTGGCCCCCGATGTGAAAGGCTGGGTAAGAGTAGGAAGTTGGATAGGAAATGTCGTGTTAAAAGCATGAACAATCTTAGGGCGGATCTTATCCGGGAGCCAAATACTGACTCGATCAGTATGAAATACCATCAGTGTTTTGTCGGCAGACATTGCACGAATGTCACTAACCCTTGTACCAGAGGACTATGCCAAAGTCATAACTGAAGTATGAGAGACGATAGGCTTGAACTTCGAGAACAATTATTTCTTTTCAAATGTCAAGAGGGCCTGGTTTGTTAAAGAGTCAAATAAAAAGTTCTCTACGAGAGGGTGTTGGTCCAGAAGACCACAATCGAAATGCGAAAGTAGACGTGGAGTATCAGCGAATGATCGAGGCCGCAACACCATCTTCCAAACAGGTCTGATGGAAGTTCAATACACAAACTAAAAATCTGCAGAACGTTCTGTGCCCTGTTCTGAGTGAGAACGTCCGACCATAAAGTTAATAGAACAGGAGGCTGACCCAGAAACATGAGATGTACAGGAAACCAGCTCTATGACAGCCAAAGAGGTGCCAGATGTAGCCAAGCTGTCGCACCACAGCAGGAACTCCTAAATCTCCCAAAGGACCCAGAAAACGTAGCCACATCTGAGTCAGGGCCTGGGGACGCGACACAATTTCCGTACTCTGGTGATACAATAGGGCGACAGAGATCCACCACAGTCGGACTAGAGTTGTAAGTACCCCAATGACTAGCTGGTCGACTTAGTGTCCACAGCATCCAGTTGTCCAGGTCAGGTTGACAACACGGTCCTTGTAACCTCGCTACTTCCGCTGGCAACAACATGAGCTTGGTGAAAACCCTTGGAGCAGTGGAAGGGGAGCATATTGTTAACAAATCCTATCATAAGAGAACCCCAGGTAATTCTTGAACGAGGGATGTGTCAGCACATGAAGATGCGCATCCATGAGGTCGACTGCCTTGAGCCTTTCTCAACTTTGAAGTTGAAGATGGGGTGGATATCTTTCTTGCTGTACGTTGAGTGAGACACAGGTCTTCCTCGCCCAACGGTTCACAGTCTCTAGCAACTTTTTTCATTATAGCATGAGAGTGCACCTGATACCTTCCACTGTGGTAAATGACCTGAGACGGGACAGACAGCAATGAGTCTCCGTCAGGCGGGCTTGAAGTTCAGTCAGTGGATGGGGGAAGACCACGCTCAGTGAAATACGACTGCGGTCCACTCTAGCAAGGACCCGTATGCATCGAGGACCGCCACATGCACCTGCTGACAAGCATTCCAAAATTGCTACCTCTGCGCCCTCCACCTCCCCATCCTCCATCGACTTGCGCTCCAAGGCTCTTTGTTAGAGGGATCGACAACAGACTGGGTAACCCCTTAAAGTCATCATGAACACCCCCATTACCGCCACCACCACCATAAATTATGAACGGTCCCCTTTCATGAAATATATACGTGGGTCCTTATTTACGTTCCATGCATACATATAGTTATTACACCGACAATTATGTACACAGTCATGGGTTATAAACATGCACACCTTTTCGCAAAGGCTAGGTATCATCGGGATTCGATCACGTGACTTGGTATAGTTGGAACCATTTAAGGAACTCTCTCTTTCTTGACAGGAATCGTATGAATATGGAAAATGTTTTGTCTATAAGTCCGAAACGTGTTTCATTATTTTGTCAGTAACAAATGCCAACAAATATAACTACCTTACCGTTCGTACCACTCTGTGATCAATAACCTCCTCAGTCTGCTATTTTCATGCTCGTAAGCTTCTGGGCCTTCCTTGTCGTAAAACAGTAAACCATCTACTGCTGCAACAGCAACCTCCAGCACAAACTTGTCTGCCTCTACGGCATGGAATGCAACTTGAATAGTGTTGCGAGGAGTTTCCAGTGGCACTCCACTGTATGTCACGATAACAGTATTCTCCTCCAAAGACTGGAAAATGGCGGCTTCGGTCTCTTGACGAAAATTCGAATCTTTGAATTTTATGCCAGTTGATGAAAACGTCTTAGATGTGTAGGCACCGTATAGTTCATCGTTCTCGTTGATGCCAAGGAAGAAAGACCCACCACCATTTAACTTAGAAAAGGCACTTATATATTCACCTAACCAACATTATTTCCAAAGAAAGTCTTTGAATTTGTGAACACTTTGCAAAGTATCTTCCTTGGCAGTGTCAAAACGTTTTAGTTGAATGTTTCGCTGTTCATTGATCTGTGGTATGTCCCGAATTGACGTACGTTTGTCTTCAAAACAGTTTTTCCGTTTTAGAAATTGTATGGCTACATTACTTTGTACATCAATTACACAGTTATCAAGCGGTTGTTTTGATTTGAAGTTGAATGTTGTCACAATGCGAGAACCTGTTACATGGATAGCAACAAACCCTTGAAAACGACTGATATTTTCACTGTTTGATTCGTTTTCTAGAAGCCAATCCTTCTTGTAACTCTGCACAAAGAGACTGCCATCTTCGATCATATCATTCAGTTTCACATCGACTATTTCATGGAAGTAGTCAAGGCATTTGTCTTCCGATACTAATCCCTGTAGGTGAACCAGCACTATGCCTCCTGCCGTGTTCCTCAGAGCTGATATGTTTTTATTAAGCTTGTTAACAAAACTCTTCCTCTCGTCTTGTCGTTTCTTCTTATTAAATTCACCAAGAGGTGTGTTTATTACCTTAACATCTACATCAATAAGCAACACGTTGTCCTCTGGAAGGTTGAAATCCTCTGTACAATCCAAAAGTTTAGAGCAGGTTTCACAGTCTGCAAAAGACCCATAACATATATGAAAATGATTTAAGCATACAGTCTCAGCTGGGTATGAAGGCATACAATGTCAATGTTTATGATAGTTCAGGAACCCTAAATGCAGGCATGGTGATATCCAATACACTTACAACAAATGAGACCCGTGAAGATCCGGGTTAGAATTGATCTTCAGTAACTCATGCTTGTAGTAAGAAATGACTAACGGGATCGGGTGGTCAGAGTCGCTGACTTGGTTGACACATGTCATAGTATCCCAATTCCGTAGATCGATGCTCATGCTGATTACTCCAGACTCGATTATTTGCCGACGGCCGTCATATAACTGGAATATCATGGGTTGCTGGAGCCCAATTCTAACCCGGATCTTCATGGGTTCGTACTTTGTGATATTGTCAGTGGATACTCACGGTCCGAGTCTCCGACCGCCTCATCTGGATCCTGCATGGCGCCACCAGTTACAGTCCATGTCCAGTTCTGTAAACATAGTGAACTGTATAAAACTAAGTCGACAATTCAACGAGAAAGTCATCTCGATCTTCCGTGTACTAAAATCGTAGCACATTTTGATCTTAGTAGGTAGCTAATCACATGAACCTATTTACTGTTTATTGTGATTTGTTTGTTTGCTGTTTAACCCCGAATTCGCAACATTCCAGCTGTATGGTGGCGGTCTGTAAATATTTGATTTATCGTAACAATCAGAGATACACGGATTCGTGTCTTCAAACACACAAGAACAATGCTGAACAGAATCGCAACAAGTGCACATACTGAAATTCTATCGCTTTTGTCTGTTTAATGTATTCAGGTAACATTCGGTGTATATAATCTGACAATAAACACGCACACACGCACGCACGCACACGGGCAGGACCCTTAATTCTCAATGGTATCGGTAGATGTCAATTAACACTTCCCTACGTCAGCGGATCTTATTAGTGTACATAAGCGTATGTCAGCCACCTTGCACAACGTGCCGTAAAGCCTCTGTGTATAAAACCTGATTGACATGATCAGTCAAGGAGACGAGTCATAGAGACAAGCCGGAGAGACGGCCTCCAGTCAAGGCGACGGGCACGGTTCATCGACAGAACGGACGGATTGTGCGGCTATGTCGTGGCGTCGGACAAGGCCTACGCCTCACCAACGAATACGTCGACGATGAAGAAGAATCGCCGTCTGACTTCTGCATGTGTGTATGTAAGACAGCGGGTCTCCGCACCGGGAACATTGGCCACTCGGTCCTGTGTGCCTTCTGACACGTGTTAACCATCAACTTTCGACCATTATTCCCGAACTACAATACACATAGCTGTTGTCAACATCAACTCTTCATGCCTGACTTTTATCTCCCGTCATTCCTCCATCATCAACTACCATCCGAGAGCTCCAACGAATGCGTTTGGTCAGATTCATAACCTCGATCCTCGATCAATGAATATTCAAACAGCCTCAAAACCAGAAAACATGAAGTAATGTAACGATATAAAACTTGTATTTTCGGTTCTGAACAAAATATATACTGTCCAAAAAAAGAAACGCAAAACGGATAAATATAGGTTATCACGCGGCTGTATTGTGCAATAGTTAATATTTTGCATTATGAATAAATGTTGTATTTAGCGAGCCCTTAGCAAGAGACGAGCAGCGATATTATTGCGAGAAAGCGAGAAAGGAAGCGATATTACCTACAATTCAGTGCTTTCTGCGCATGATCGACCACAGACGGGAGTTAGTCGCCATTCGTAATTTCTGGATAGTATTAAATGGTTTTCAGTAATGTTCTTGCTCATGAATGGCGTTGTATGACTTGACGTTTAGAGAATATCTTATACAAATGTAGACTTTCCTTTGACACGTATTGTCAATTTTGAAACGTATTGAAAATTTACACGTATGCAATATTCATATCGTGAAATAACGGAAACGTTCATTTTGTGATGTGACTAAGGAAATTACATATTTCATGACTGGATTCGAATTGTCTTAATCACACCAACCAATTGAATTATTTCTTTGATGGGCATTTTAGATGTTGAGTTGATGAAGAATAATGACAATTATTATGGATATACAACTTCTTTTATTCTGTGGAACGTCGCCTCGACAGACATAGATTCTAATGTCGTTGTCAAGCAAGTGATACATGAGTAACAAATTGAGAGAATATATACATGAGTTGTTATTACAATAGATGGGGAATGAGTTGTTTATAGAGTAAATGAGGTTGATGTACAACGCTTGTTTAAGAGATTGAGTAAGTTGATTGGAAGCCAGAAGGGTGATATACAAGGACTGAATTAGAACTTATACAACTGATAGGTGAGGTGAGGTGAGATAAATTGGGTTTAACGTCGTGCTTGAGAATATTTCGCTCATATGACGATGTGTATGCGTGTGTATGTGTATGAACAGCTGCTTGTACTAGCCCAGACTCAAGCTGGTTTTATAGTGCTAGTCCACTGAGATACCATGCCGCAGTGAAGAATGAATACCCCACTCAGACACATTATACTGACTCCGAGGCGACCAGTCCTTGTTGTACCCATTAATGCCGAGCGCCAGGCAGGGACCAACAAGTACCATATTTTAACGTCTTTTGGTATGACGCGGTCGGGGATCGAACACGCGACCTTCCGCTCTCCGGCCATGCGCTCTAACCACAACACCACGGAGGCGGTCACAACTGATAGGAAGCCAGGTGGATGTATATACAATGGATGGGGTTGATGTACATAGTTGAATTGACACAGAAATATTATTGATTACTTTATCAAGTGATGGTAGGCATTGGCATTGTACTATCCTACATCTCTGTTGAGGGCGGATCCTATCTTCTTGATGTGTTTACGACTTTTGTAGTCTGGTTCTTTCTATGGTTTTCTTTGAATTATGACAATTCTATAATAATTATCAGTTCTCGCTGTTTGATTACAGGTGAAAGAATTAAAATGAGGTATGGGAAGTTAACCATTTATGTTAATGTCACTTTCTTGTATTTCAGGGTGATCAAATTACAGCTGTAGTTTCTTTGAATTAATAAAGACGATCAAATTTATTAACTGAAGATCTTCACCTACATGAATCCAAATCGCTCCTACCCAAAGATAGAGGAGACGCACGTGACAGTAAAGCACCTTGCTACATCAGTGTAGTAACAGAACCATTCCACAGTCAATGGTGTAATCTAAGCCAATAAAAGAATGCAGTCAAACGTTCGTGTAATCAAAGCTGAAAATAGTACGCAGTTAAACGCTGGTCTAGCCATATATAGTGAACTTCTTTGAGTGGCATTTAGAAGTTGGTATGCTGATCAACGGGGAAAGTTATATGGATATACAACTTCTTTATTATAATGTAAGCGACGTTTTGGTCCACCAATTTCAAACCCGTTCTGCCATCAAAATATCTATCAAAACCCATCTTTTCCCCCAAGTTTTTTTCTAACAAAAGTTAGATAATAGACATGTTATACCAACAACTGATTTTCTACAATATATTGTTACACTCCGCCGCCATTTTGACTGTATGTATTTATTGATGTGTGTGATATGTACTATTGAGAATAAAAGTAAAGTAAAGGCTACAGCTGGACGTGGTTGCATAGGTTTTGATAAGCTGAGTGCTCACACGGGTATCCAATTAACCTTTCGTAACATTTTCATTTCCAAAGGAAGACTTGAAACTCGTTCAATATATGGAACTATCTACCTGTATCATCTTGTTTATAATTTGGTCAACTTAAGTCAAAACGATTCAAATCGAATGAGAGCGATAGGTGACATTCACTGGGATGCAGACAAATAAACCCTCATACACATCTACAAAAAATTTATCGTGTTCACACTGGAGTGAGTCGCTCCCGTCCTTCTCTATCCCCCTACCAATCATGATAAGCTAAACTCCTTACAATATAAAGCAGAAGTATGAGAGACTATGGCACATACATTTAGAACAATACCTTTTTCATATAATAGTAGAAATATATATATGTGTGAAATATGCACACATAAAAAAAATCAGATGAAAGGCACAGAGTGTATAAAATTCCATCACGGATACAATAAAGCCCGACGGGGAGTTGGTTTGGTTGGTCTGTTGTTTAACACCGCACTAGGCAATATTCCAGCTATATGGCGGCGGTCTGTCAATAATTGAGTCTGGACCAGACAATACAGTGATTAACATCATGGGAAAAAAACATCTACACAGTAGGGTTACGATGACATTGTCAATCAAGTCAGCGAGCCTGACCACCCGATCCCGTTAGTCACCTTTTACGACAAGCATGTGTTACTGAAGAACAATCTAACCCGAATCTTCAAGTGTAACATGGGGTGAAGGCAAATGTGTAGCTTAGCCCAGTGAAAAACAGGGCTCATAAAACAGGACTCATAAAGGTATTTAAGAGAATTTATGGATGTCAACTTCTGTATTTGTGGAACACGATGTTACAGAGTATATTCTTATCCTTCATGGGGTGAATGAAGAGACAAGGCCAAAGGCCTACAGTGATAAACAAACAGTGATAAGATAACAAGGGAAGCCAGTACTTAATTAGCGCTAAATTGGTAGGGTGGATGGACAAATGGAAGCCATGGATTGCTAATCCCGGGAATGAATAATGAAATAACTATGGTGGCATTTAACAAGGGAAATGACAGTAAAGAAATGTAAGCCAGGAATGAATCCAAGCCTAATTAGTGATGTAACAATACATTAAATGATTGTTATCCTTTTTACAGACTTTTTAAGACCGCTCATTTATTTCAACGAAAACACACTCGGTTTCTGGAGTTATTATTGTTGGATTATTGTTTGGACAAGTTAAAGGATTAATTACAAAAATTAATTAATTACAAGAATTTGAAAGCATGTTCATTTTGTTTCTATACAACTAAACCAAATGACAATAAAGCCTCTGTGCAGACAGGGCAGAATTATCGCTTTCTCCCTCTATCGATTTCTTGATTTCTCACTGTATCGCTTCCTCACTTTATCGCTCTATCGTTTTCCCGCCTTGTTATATCACTTTCACGCTTTATCGCTCTCTAGCCTTGTAATATCGCTTTCTCGCTCTATCGCTTTTTTGCTTTCTCGCTCTAGCGCTTTCTCGTCTCTTGCTATTGCTTTCTCGTCTCGCGTTATCGCTTTCTCGTCTCACGTTATCGCTTTCTCGTCTCGTGATATCGCTTTCTCATCTCGTGTTATTGCTTTCTTGTCTCGTGATATCGCTTTCTTGTCTCGTGATATCACTTTCTTGTCTCGTGATATCGCTTTCTCGCCTCCGATTTTTTAGGCGAGAATGCAATGGCCCTAATCAGCCACCATAACATTCCCAATAAACATGACAAGTACTCTCATTCAGCTCATTACAAAAACAGCACAATAAATCGTCAACAAGGTTCATTTTAAAAAAACTGGTTTTAGTATAGATAATACCATGTGAAAACCTGTAATCAGACAGTTTGACA